GTTTTTGGATGATCTTCAGCAGAATCTTGCTTGCATGTGAAATCAATGACACTGTTCTGTAGTTTCCACACTCAGTTGGGTCACCTTTCTTTGGAACAGGAACAAATATAGATCTCTTCCAGTCAGTTGGCCAAGTGGTTGTTCTCCAGATTTCTTGGCACAACTTGGTGAGCACGTCCGGAGAAATATTTATTACATTTTCAAAATTCCCTGAAAACGTATTTTCTCCCTAAATATCAGAGATCAGTTATTTGTAATTGCCTATATAGAACCCATCACTGACCCTAGATAATATCTACCTGCTGCTATTAATGATTAGCATTGCTAGAAAATCATTATAACAATGAGAATAAAACTACTGAACATCAGTCTCTTCTTTTTTTGTTTTGGGAGAAAATACACATGCAATTCATTATTAAGGTGGGTTGATGCTTTGGACTAGAATTTACCAAAACCAAATAAATACAACTCATTTATGAAAATAAGAATGATAATTTGTGCTGAGATTTTTGTACTAAGATGATGAGCAGTACTTTTCCTTAAGCCTATAGTATGTATTATTCATCATAATATGATGTCAAGTGTACAAAATTTGAAGTCCAGGACCTGAACCTTGTTATGTTACTGATAGCTGTGATTTTCTATAAGTACTTTATTTTCTTTCTTTATTATCTCTAAATAGTGTTAAGAAAGGAAGAATGGATAACTTGTACATTATCTCCTGGTTATAAAAATCTCTAATTCTGTCTCTCTCCTGGGCTGCTGAAAATTCACCATAGAGGAAATCAAGTAACCATGCTAAATGATCATTAACTAGTTCATTCCATGCACTTTCCTGACACCTTTGGCTCTTTTAAAATTGTGATAGTGTTGCAATGCTCCCTTCGGCAGCAAATCACCTCCCTTAAAGCATAGATTCATAGTAAATGACCACGTTAAAATAAATGTTACTAACTGAAAACATATTTACCTGGGCTCCACCTGCACTCCCCCAAACTGTGAAATTTTGGAGCAGGGTTGGGGGAGCGTCATGAGTCCATGATGGCTGGAATTCAGGGTATACAAAGAGACCATACCTAGAAAACAAAACAAAAGGATGAAATTTAGTCAACTTCAATTATTTCCCTCTTCTTTGTAAAAGAGTAACGTAAAGGGAATGATAGTGGGAAAGTGGAGTTGGTACCTGTGACCCCTCTCCTGACTTCGCTTGGCCATCTGCCACTTTTCACTACTTCCTCCCCTGTGACCTGGTGCTGGATCACAGCACAAAATAGAGTCCCAGGACCCCCTGCTAACCTGTCAGTCCCTCTCTAGGTTCACTTCCTTCCTGCCTGAAAGAATCAATAACTCTGCATATTGTTGTTAGGTGTCATCAAGTCAAGTACAACTCATAGCGACCCTATGAACAACAGATCTGAATCCTGTCCTATCCTGTTTTGTTCACAATCATATTGATCATTTCATTGCATAAATATTAATCCCAGTTTCAACATTGCATGAAACAACCTTTCATATTCCCCGCCTCATAGTTCTTAACAGTTTTTCAGTCACAGTATTATCACTAAACTACTATTTTTATAATTATTTGCAGACTCCGGTTTTGCTGAGGTATAAGCGGTGGGCTGCTAACTGAAAGATCAGTAGTTCAAACCCACCATCTGCTTCATGAGAGCAGTCTGTTCCTGTAAATATACCCAGCCTCAGAAACCCTGTAGGGACATTCTACTCTGTCTATAACGCCACTAGGAGCCAGAACTAACTCAGTGGTGGGAGAGTTTCAGTGGGTTTCAATTACTGGTTTCCTACGAGGTTCCAGAAGAAATTGGGGTGGCACAGTGACTGAGTAAGTGTTAGTTGACATGTCAGTGTTTGGAACCTGTAAACCAATTCAACTCTACCCTGTAGGGCTACTGGGGTGGAATAAACTCAGTGGCATTGGATTTTGCTTTGGTGTTGTTGCTTTTTTAAATATATGTTTGTTTAGTCAGTTCTAGGTGCTGTTCTGGGTATAGTACATAAATCTTCCCTAATTCTCAGACCAAACCTTCAACATAGTTTAGTGATCTTATTACAAATAAGAGCTCTCACTGTTTTTAAAAACAAAACTCAAAGAAAGATAATTTACCAGGAGTCAATCTCAATCTGAGCCAGGGCCTGATTGGCTTGCAGCCCAAGTTCTTCTCACACTCTGCTTTCACCATTCCTTAGTTCTTAGCTATGACCCTGGCACTAACTACACAGATGAAGTCAGCATGTTTGAAAGTTCCTCTAAGCTTCTCCTAATTATGTGACTCATCCCTATTCTTTACCTCCTCATCTAACAGTGTGTATATTAATTGGGATGTATTATTACATATTTGGTGGTACAGAGTTGTGGTGCCAAAGCTGAAGGCACGTGGTTCGAGGCCACCTGATGCTCTGCAGGAGAAAGATGGGCTATCTCCTCCTATGTGATGAACTGTCTATGAAAATACACTGGAGGGTGAGCTATGGGTTGGTTCTTACTCAACAGTACTCAACATCAATGACAATTGGCTAAGAACCTTTTCTCAGCCTCAATTCCTGAGTCCAGGCTCTCTGAGCTCTCATTGGCTCTACATTGCCAGTTGTCTGACTCTTTCAATCTCTTGGAAGTATTGCTCCCTCTCCTGAGTTCTGCGAACTCAAAGATACATCTGCCCATCTGACAGCTCAAGTGATTTCCCTTTTCTTCATCACCAAAATACTGACACATAGTCAAATCTCACACAAATGACAAATGTTATACCCTCTGTTCAGAATCTCATTTAAATTCTAAACCTGAACTAAAAAATATGAATGGATTTCCCCAACGTTACCTTGTACAGGAATGTGCAGTGTTCTGGGCAAAAGAAAGAAGTGGAGCTTGTGATGTTTCGTTGGTCACAAGATGAAAAAAGTAACCGAAACCAGCAGAACACACCCTGTTCCCCTGCAGAAATTAAAGAAGTTGAGAAATTAGTTACTCAATGTATAATAAGGAGGTGGGCAGACTTTCATTGTGCTTAGTCTGCTTTATTCAGTGATTTCTGTCAAGGTATCTTAATTTTTTATGAATTTATTTATTCATCATTATCCCAAAAGTAATTTTTTTTATGACTGCCCACGCCCCTTCCTACAAGCCACTTAACCAGCCTGTAACTTGCTCACCACAGTGACTGACAACTCAAGGGGAAAGCTTGCTTAAAAGCTTGCCAGCTGAGAAGGCAACTTGTGCTATCTAGTCTAAACTTCTCTTTGGTCTATGCGAGTGTCCTGAAGGCAGGCATAGTGTTCTGATTATTTCAATAACTTAATGATTTGGTGATAAGATGAAGGGCACATGGCTGATATAGCCATGCCTAAGCCCTGAGAAATGGTAGCTGATTTCCAATACAACCCACATATCCTCAACACATCACTGCTTTCTTATTACATAATTTAATAATTTTAGTGTTCATAGAATTTACTAGCCAAGTAATTTCCTATATTTTACATGCTGCTAGCTCTGGTGATGTAGTGGGTAGGGAGTCACACTGCCAACCCATAGACAGGCAGTTTAAATCCACCAGTTTCTCTGAAGCTGTTGCTATTTTTGTTGTTGTTAGGTCCCATCAAGTTGAATATGGCTCATAGCAACCTTATGGTACAAAAGGTCTGAACCCAGTCTTGGCCTGCTTCATCTTCACACTTCCTGACATACGAAAGCCCATTGCAGCAGTCATCGTGTCAGTCCACCTGGTTGAGGGTCTTCCTCTCCTTTACTGACCCTTCACCCATCCCAGTATCATGTCCTTCTCCAAGAAAAAGCACCTCCTAACAGCATGTTCAAAGTATGTGAGGTGAAGCCTCATCATTCTTTCCTCCAAAGAGCACTCCAGCTGCATCTTCTCCAAGACGTATCTGTTCATACTCTTGACCATCCATGGGCCAACACCACAAAACAAACTGAATATCATGAGAGTATATTATTCAGTCAATAATGAAATACACTGTATTCACCACTATGAAATGTATTCTAATACATTAGGAAAATTACTTTCCGGAGCCTGGCAGAGTAAATACCTTGGCAATGTGGTCTATAACGTGTTGGACTGCTAACTAAACCAACCACCTGCTCAGAGGAAGAAATGCAGTCAGTCCTCTCTTATAAATATTGACAGCCTCCAAACCCAGTGGAGGGTTGTTTTTATAAGCAGACTCGGCTCCAAGGTAACAGATTTGGGGATTAAGGTAGGATTATGTTGCTGTTATATGCCATCAACTTGGAACAAACTCATAGCTAACCTTCCAGTGGGATTTCAGAGGCAGCAAATTGCATGGAAAGTAAATTGTAGCAAGTTGCACCCTCATTTGTCCCTCAGAGCAGCTGGGGGATTCAAACTGTGAGCCTTTGGGTTGCCAGTGCAACTCCTTACCACTAAATCACCAAAATTTCCTTCAATACATTTTTGCTTGAATGTTCCCCAGCATTTATAACTTGTTTCCAGCATTTTAGAATCAAGGGAATTTCTATAAAAATCTAGACTTTCCAGCTTTTAAAAAATACAGAACCCAAACTCCTTTGGGAAAGCTAGTCAGCTAAAGGCAAGAAAGCCTTACTATCTTGGTAGATAGTGAATTATTTTGTTTGAGTCCACACTCTTCCTATGACACTCCTCTGCGATATCAGCCTACACCCTGGAGGCATTTTGAGCTTGCAACCTCATACCACAAAAGGTAAAGTAAGAACTTCTGGGATGTTATATGGAAGTTTTCATTTACTTCTTCCTGACCCATTCCCAAGTCCTCTCAGTGCACACTCTATTATATGTCAGGAGGCATCATTCTCTCCATTCCATCACCATGCTGAAAAACGCTGATGAGCATTGGAGGTTTCCTCAGGCTCCGGCCCATGAACGACACTTCTAAAGGGCACAGTGAATTGATCGAAGGACTTAACTGCTGTGCATCTGCGTACTTATGTGCCCTCATAGCCTGTGAATTCTGGTCCAGGGCAAGATGCCTGTGTCTACCTGGGGAATAGAAGTTGCTCAGCTCACCTCTGGCTGAAGCATTCTACTGCAGGAATAAAGGGGTGTCCCGGAAGCCCCCACAGCTTCATCCCTGATCGTCTGGGGAATTTGACAAGGACTGGCTGAATCAAAGACTGCATGGAGTGCCCTCTGTGTGTGTTCTACTCTCCAAGGAGCAGCACAGAGGGAGAGTGAGAACTCATCCTGAACCAAAAAGCATTTGTATCCAGACACAGAAAAGAACACAAGAAATAAACAGAACAGTGACACTGTGCACGGGGACACTTTCAAAAGCAGTACTTCAGCGCCATAGTGAGTGCTTCTGTGTCAGCCTCAGTAGGGACAGTGCTAAGAAAATTCCACCAGAAGATTTTCCTTAATTTTAATGTACGTACAGACATGTTTGCTGGGATTAACAACTATAAATAGAAGCTCAGTTAAATTTATATTTTAGATTCACCAAGAATACTTCTCTTTTAGTATAACTAGGTTTGCATTAACTCCATGTAGACTTAAAAAAAGAAGGTGTTAATCTGAAATTCAAGTTTAATAAAATCCCCAATTTTATCTGGCAACTCTACCCTGAAGGAATGAACCCTTTAGGGCCTCACCAGTAGATACTTTGATTCAGTATGCAGGAAGGAGACAGCCTCTGCACGCTCCATTACTGACACAGTACTGATGCAGCTGGTCTTTAACATCATGTTGATAACCACTCCTCTATACACAGCTGAGGCAGTGATACCAAGTTATTTTATCACCAAGATTCCTAGGAAATATTCAAAGTGACTATCATGAGGAAAAGCATGACACCTGGCAATTCTACCGTTAGGTGCTTTATGTCAAAGATGAGGGCTGACTGAAAGGACCAACCCATCTGGAATGCAGGGAGAATTGTGGACTCCTGAGTTTGAACTGAGGCCCATTTGAATCTAACTACAGATGACTGGGGACAAGTTAACCAGAACAGAATTAGACGAAAAGATGATGATCTGTGCTAGCTAGGGTTGATTTCTGAAACTTGAGGGCTTGCTCTGAATGAGACTCTGCTCAAGGTTTCCACATTGAACTGAAGATTCTTTAGCAAAAGGGATGTTTGTTCCCTCAGAGTACAGGTTTGATAAGCATAGGCAAAGCAGAAAATAGCTATCTAAAATGGGGATATTAAGGCATGAACACAAAATAGCTGGCTTACACGTTCTCATGAATGTAGTAATTAGTAAAATGATTATAAGAGGGGGAACCCCAAAGTGTACTTCAAACAAAATATAATGTAAATGAAAGATTGTATAAATGTAATGTATGTGTATGAAACACAATGTATATCCATGGAGAATGTAAAAGGTCATTATGAAAATGGAGAAAGAAGAAAAGTCCAAAATGGATGTCAAAAGAGATTTTGAATATTGCACTAGAGAACCAAGAAGCCAACGCAAAGGGGAAAAAGCAAAGACGTTAAGGAACTGAATAGAAGATTTCAAAGGTCAGATAGAGAAGGCAAACAAAGTAGTATATTGAAATGTGCAATGAGCTGGAGTCAGAAAATCAAAAGGGACGAACTCTCTTGGCATTTCTTCACAAATTCAAGCAGCAAGTTGCAATATTTAAGGATGTTATGGGCAGAATATTGTATCATTCAGGAAGCATAAAGAGAAGATGGAAGCAGTACACAGAGTCACTGTACTAAAAAGAATTGGCTGACAGAGAAGAATTTCAAGAAACCTGATCAAGAGATAATGGTGATGAAGGAGAAAGTTCAGTCTGTGTTGAAGGCAAAAAATAAAGCCCCAGGAATGGATGTAATACCAATTGACATAAGATGCTGCCCTGAAAGTGCTCACCAGGTTGTGCCAAGAAATCTGGAGGACAAATACCTAGCCATCTGACTGGAAGTGATCCATATTATATATCCCCATTCCAAAAAAAGTGACTTGATAGAATCTGGAAATTATCAAACAATATCACTAATAACACACAAGCAAAATCCTGCGAAGATCATCCAAAAATGACTGGAACTGTACATTGACAGAGAACTATCAGAAAAACAAGATGAGTTTAGAAGAGATTGTGGCACTAGAGACATTATTGCCAATGTCAGACAGATCTTGGCAGAAAACAGAGAGTACCAGAAGAATGTCTCTCTGTGTTTCATTGATTATGCAAAGGCATTTGACTGTGTGGATCACAGCAAATTGTGGCTAACCTTGAGGAGAATGGGAATCCTGGAACACTCGTTTGTGTTTATTCAAAACCTACAATCATCAGGAAGCTGTCCTCAGAACAGATCAACACTGCACGGTTCAAAATCAGGAAAGAAGTGTGTCAGGGATTCATCCTGTATTCATACCTTTTCAATCTACATGTAGAACAGATCATCTGGGAGACTTGGCTTTATGAGGAGCAATGTGGCATCATGATTGGAAGAAGACTCATCAACAACCTGAAACATGCAGATGACACAACCTTGGTTGCTGAAACTGAGGACAACCTGAAGCTTTTGCTGCAGAAGATTGACAACTATAGTCTTCAAGACAGATTGAAGCTCAACATTAAGATGACAAAGATTCTCACCACTGGGTCATTGAGCAGCATCCTGATAGATGGAGAAGAGGTTGTGTTCTTAACAGCTTCAGCTTGCTTGGCTCCACAGTTAACACTCTTGGCACCAGCATTCAGGAAATCAAAAGACAAACTGCACTGGGAAAATCTGCTGCCAGGACCTCTCCAGAGTGCTGAAAAGTAACAATGACAATCTAGAGACTAAAGTGCACCTGATCCAGACCATGGTCTTCACAATTACTTGCTATGCATCAGAGAGATGGAGAAGGACTAAAGATGACAGAAGAACAATCAATGCCTTCAAGTTGTGGTGCTGGAAGAACAGTCTTGAACCACCAAGAAAACAAATAGGTCTGTCTTGGATAGGATGAAACCAAGT